GTGTGTGTGTGTGTGTGTGTGTGTGTGTGTGTGTGTTCCTGTGAACACAGCTTGTTTAAAAACTCCAGTCAGAAGGAGGCTTATGAATCGATAATCATTTGAAAGTAAAATCGTGCAAAGTTTGGACGTTTTGCATGTTGCTGCTGGTGGAGAGCACAAGAAGAAATATGGACTCACTGGATCAGCCGGCCCACAGAACTCCCTGAAGGTTCTGGGTGCGTCTGTGCCGTGGATCTCTAGAACCATACAGGGTCCGGAGCACAGCTCTGTCACCATACTCTGGAAACACAAGCAAGATGTGTCAGAGTGAAGCTTTCCTCCCTCACATGAGATAAGACACAAACAACTTTGTAACAGCTTGTATCAGTCCTCTGGATCTTTTGTTTTGGTGTAATCTAAAGTATCAAGTGAAGGAGATGTGCTGAGGGTTTTTACTGTGATGACACACACAACAGTGTGGTGTTTACACTCACATGGTACTCTGTGACAACACCTTTGTACACTTCAAAGAACTCCTCTGCGTTGGCCCGGTCCACGTTGAACTGTCAAAATAAGACTCATGAAACTCATTAAGAGTGAAAATATGTTCACTAATCTGATTTTTACAGGGTTCAGGGATAGCTCAGTGTATCACCTGGAACATTAAAGGAACAGTTCTGAACTTTTGAAGTAGGGCTTTGTGAAAAGATTGTGAACAATTAGCATCTTACCTGTTGCAAACAGATTTGAAGGAGCTCAGTTTGAAGAATTTGGGTTAAAGTTTGGGCAGGGATTTTGGAATATTCAAAGTGTTTCTTAAACAGATGACTGTGAGGAATTATTGTGACTGTTGCAGCTGTCTTTTCACTTTCATGTGGTGGTTTTCCAGACAAAGATGTTTTTGTTCACTGCTAAAAGTGTGTAGCTTTTGTGCCAATTATCGTAGTTAATTTTAAAAGAAACTTCTGTAACAAGTAACCTTTATTGCTACAGCATATGTAGGATCCTCCATGTTAATGCACTGGACATATGAAGATGAAAATATATAATAGGCATTCATATGAGCTGCTGTCTGAGTAGTTGTCATCCTTTATGTAATCTTTTTTATTTATTTACTTTATTATTATTATT